CTCCAGCGCGGTGGGGAGCTGGTCTTACTCGCAGCAGAGGCGGCAGAAGGTGTGCTCTGGGGAGGGGCCGCCCAAAGCAGATCTCATGGCCTTCAGCCCCAGTGTACCTGACTCTGGGGACAGAGAGGATCAGCAGCCAGCAACTGAGGATTCTCTTTCAAAGGTTAGTGTATAAATATCCTTTATTTACTCTGAAGTCTCATATTCTTTAATTTTAAAAAATTTATTTATTTATTTTTGGCTGCATTTGGTCTTCGTTTCTGCACGCGGGTTTTCTCTAGTTGCGGCTATCGGGGTCTACTCTTCGTTGCGGTGCGTGAGCTTCTCATTGCGGTGCCTTCTTGTTGCGGAGCCCGGGCTCTAGGCACGCGGGCTTCAGTAGTTGTGGCACACGGGCTCAGTAGTTGTCGCAACTGGGCTGTAGAGCGCAGGCTCAGTAGTTGTGGCAACCGGGCTTACCTGCTCCGTGGCATGTGGGATCTTCCGGGACCAAGGCTCCAACCCGTGTTTGCCGCACTGGCAGGCGGATTCTTAACCACTGAGCCACCAGGGAAGTCCCTCATATTCTTTAATTCTATCAATTTCTTCTTAATTAAAAAAATTCTCAGAACCAAATTTCTCTGAATTAAATGTTTACTTCTTACATACCTTTTTAAACTAAAATCTTTTAGAATTACAGGACACTAAGGCAATACATGTTGTTTTGTTTTTATTCTTAATTATTCAATGCATATTATAACTAGTGTTATAAATTTTGTGGTTACTATCTTCACCTACTTGTTTTCAGTTGTAATCAGCTTTTAGAGAGCATTTTCTTGTTATTTGCTCATAATACACTGAAAAGTGCACAGAATGAATATTATAGCTCTATCAGCTACTTGGAAGTGAAAACTTCTATTACCTCCACTCCAGAAGCCACTAAAATGCACCTCCCAAATATCTTTCCCCTCTTTCTCTCCCAAATGTAGCCACAGTTTTAACTTTATAAATGATTTTGACCTGTTTCCTAAATTTTATCTGAATGGAATTGCACAAAATGTGTTATGTGTGTGCATGTGTTTGTGTGTTCTTCATATTTATCATTCACCATTGTATGGAATAATCCATATTGCCATATGTACTTGGAGTTCATTTAATTTATTATGTTCTCTGGTACTTTGTTTTATGAATAGGGTGTGAGTTATTTGCTCCACTCTTGAGAATTTTACATTATTTCTCTTTATGTCTATTTCACATATTTCTGCCATCAATATATTTGTAACATTTTCAATGTCCGTGTACACACTTTTCTCTATTATTTAGCTACGATCGAGATTAGTGGAACATAACCTATGTACGTATCTTCTTCTTTAATTGATAATGTCAATCAGTTTCACCAAATGCTTTTACCTGTTCACACTCATGCTAGCACTGTATGAATTCCTATTCTTCTTCATCTCCACAACTTGGCATTGTTAGTTTATTTATATTGTTGCCATTTTGCTGGATGTGTTTATGTTTCTTGATTTGTAATTGAGGTTGAACACCTTTTGGTGTTATTATTATTGGCCATTTTTAGATCCTATTTTGTGCAGTAGCTGTTCAAGTCTCCTACCTATTTTTCCTATGCTGTTGTATTCGTCTACTGATTTTTGAAATTTTTCATATACTGTATATAACCCCTTTCTTGATTTTGCACTCTTCTACACTGTGCCTTCTCTTTTCGTTCTTTTGTCCTTTGGTGAATAGAAATTTTTTATTTTAGTTAAGTTCAGCTTATCATTCTTTTCTTCTTGATCCTGTTCTATGAAGATAATTTCTTGTGGTGTCTTTTGTTTAATTGGTCACATTACATATACAATCCATTTTGAATTTTTTGTCTTTGTTGGGACATAGGGGTCAAGATTAATTTTCCCCAAGGATATTCAACTGAAGCAAGACCACTTGAAAAAGATGAGTTCCACATGTTTTATAAAACACTTTTCTGTTATATAACCATGGTCTTTTTGTTGTTATTGTTGTAATCTATTTGACTTTTTTTTCATTAATGTCATGTTGCCTCTTTCATTTCCACTTAAATTTGTATGTAAATTCCATAAAAACAACTCGGTGAGGTTTTGATTTGGACTGCATCGTATCTACTGAGAAACGTGAAACTAGTTGACATCTTTACAATAATGTCATTCGGTTCATGAGCATGCTCTATGTATCTAAATAACCTGTAATGGTTCTTAATATTTTATAATTTTCTGTGTAGAGGTCCTATATATACATCTTTCATTAGATTTACTCTTAGATAATTGTCATTTGTGATCATTATAAATATCAACTTTAAGCTAAAAATCTTTTCTCTGTTTACTAATGATACATATGAAAATATTTTGTACTTTTCTATTGATGTGTTATTCAGCTAACTTGCTAAGATAATTTATTAATTCTAATAATTTGTCTATAGGTGCTTTGTATTTTTTGATATAGACAATCATTCTATCAGAAAATATTGAGAGTTGTATTTTTTCCTTTCCAATCCTTATATCTTTTATATCTTTAGTATGCTTTATGGGATTGGGTAGGACCACTAGTACTCTGTTAAACCGAACTGGCAATAGTGGACATTCTTGTCTATTTATGAACTCTAAATGAAAGGTTTCAATAATTTATTATTAATTATGTTTGCTGTAGGTTTTTTAAAATTATTAAATATTCCCCCTCTTTTTTGTCTTCATTTGGATTAGTATATTATAATTATTTCATTTTCTCCTGAATTATCTTTTTAGTTATACATTCTTTTACTAATTTCTTTATTGATTTTCTGGATACTATAACAAGCATCATTGACTTGTTTAGTATAGATTAAACTAATACTTTTGCCACTTACAGACAATGCTAGGACCTTGAATAATAACTCCATTTACTTGCTCTCAATTTTTCTTTTAATATTATGCCTTTCAATTATACATATACTCTAGGAACAGATTACATTATTATTGTTGTTTTATACAGTTACTTTTTTAAAAAATTAATTAATTAATTAATTTTTGGCTGTGTTGGGTCATCGTTGCTGCAGGCAGGCTTTCTCTAGTTGCGGCCAGCAGGGGCTACACTTCGTTATGTTGCGCGGGCTTTTCATTGCGGTGGCTTCTCTTGTGGAGTGCAGGCTCTATGTGCCCGGGCTTCAGTAGTTGTGACTCATGGGCTTAGTTGCTCCGCGGCATGTGGGATCTTCCCGGACCAGGTCTTGAACCCGTGTCCCCTGTATTGGCAGGTGGATTCTTAACAACTGTGCCATCAGGGAAGTCCCTAAAGTCACTTCTTCTTGTTTCTTTCTGGGATATCTTTCCTTATGAATAAATTCTTTAATATTTCTTTTAGTGGTGGTAAAGAAATATTTAATCTATGGAATATGAGAAATATGCTTATTTTGCCAACACTTTTGAAGAATAGTTTTGCTGAATATTAAGTTCTGTGTTGTAAGTTATTTTTCCCTCCAGTGCTTTCAGATGACATTGCATAGTATTTTGAGAAGATGGCTGTCAAGTTTATTGTTCAGGTAGTGCAATCTTTTTTTTCCCCCTCTAGCTGCTTTGTAAAATTTTTCTTTGTTTTTGATTTTCAATGGCTTTATTATATGCTCAATTTTAGTTTTCTTTGGTTTTATCTTGTTTGCAGTTTTTTTTTCTAAATTTATTTATTTAATTTTGGCTGTGTTGGGTCTTCATTTCTGCGTGAGGGCTTTCTCCAGTTGCGGCAAGCGGGGGCCACTCCTCATCGCGGTGCGCGGGCCTCTCACTATCGTAGCCTCTCTTGTTGCGGAGCACAGGCTCCAGACACACAGGCTCAGTAGTTGTGGCTCACGGGCCCAGTTGCTCCGTGGCATGTGGGATCCTCCCAGACCAGGGCTCGAACCCGTGTCCCCTGCATTGGCAGGCAGACTCTCAACCACAGCGCCACCAGGGAAGCCCTCGTTTGCAGTTTTTAAAGCTTCTTGAATATGTGGCTTGATGTCTTTCATCAGTATAGGAAAATTCCAGCAATCTGTCTTCGAATATTGCTTCTGCCTCATGCTTTTCTCTCTTTCTCTTCTGTAACTCAAAGAATATGTGTGTTAAATCCTTTCACCTTAAAGTAATTATACCACAATAAAGATGTTAAAAAATATTTTCACCATATCTCTTATATCTACTATGCCCTCTCTATTTTTTAAACATCACTTTTGGTCTCTATTATATGCTGTATATTTTATTCTGACCAATCTTATACTTCAGCAAAATTCTCTTCTTATTATTAAATCATCAACTGAATCTAAACTTCAATTATGACTTTTTTTAGCTTTAGGATTGTAATTTCCATTTAAAAATAGATTACAATTTTCTGGTGAAATTATTTATTATGTATTTATTTCAATACCTTAATCACAGTTTATTTGTGATCCGTCATATCATTGTAATAATTGGATCATCTGTGTGTCTTTTTATTCATTTTTTTCTCATGATTCTCTTTCTTCATAAGCCTGATAATTTTGTATTGAGTTCTGGGTATTGTACATAAGAAGCTGTAGTTGTTCTAGATGTAATTATATTCCTCTAGAAATGGATAAAGAATTTATAAATATCTGACAGATATGAGTTTAGAACATTTATGGAAAAGTTTGAATTGAGATAAATATTTTATCCCTTTTTCTTTTTTGTCTACTACAATGATGTCTGTCATTACAAATCTTCTGAACATTTTATTTTTCTCTTTCCTACTGACACCCAAGTTCTATTTTGTACTCTCATACAAAGTAAATTTAGTGGAATAAAGATTCTGTACTTTATTTTAAACCCCTTTTCCTTCCTCTACTCCCCTTTCCTTGGTACATAAGAACCAAGCTTATTGAATTTATTACTCTTTAGTTACCCTCCTTTCTTCTTTCTTACCCTAGATACTTGCTAATGGTATAAGAATCTTGCATCTCACCAAGTTTCCACTCACTTGACCTAGGATTTTTTTTTCGGTGGGGGGGGGATTTTTTTAAATTCAAACAGAAAGTCACTAAAATTATAATCATCCTCATCAGTTCACTCAGTCCCATGTAATTAATTCTTTTTCATCTTGATCTTTTACTAGCACTTTTATGAATTCATCAGTTTTCCATTAGAGTTCTGAAAATGCTTATTCATTCAGTTCAGCAGCACAGTCAGTTACCAGAAACCTGTACTTGTCAGAGTCTTTTCCATGAATTCCTTGAAGGTGAAACCCTTTTATAGGAACATTTTTGCGAAATCATCAGAGTACACCCAGAACTGTCTGTAAAAGACAAAAAACTTAACAATAACCATGGTTAAAGATTTGATGAAAGTTCATAATAATGCAATCAACAAGGAAATTTAGTTATTTCTGAGATATACATTTTAAAGTAATAACTAGAATTATGACTTATAACATTATACCAGAACATACAAGCTTTTTAGAAATTTCATGTAATGTCTGAAACATTTATATTAACATATTTCCATACAAATAACCCAAAGAAAGTTTAGTATTAGTTGTTTTTTTGTTTGTTTGTTTTTTATACTGCAGATTCTTATTAGTCATCAGTTTTATACACATCAGTGTATACATGTCAACCCCAATTGGCTAATTCAGCACACCAACATCCCCACCCCACTGTGGCTTCCCCCCTCAGTGTCCATATGTTTGCTCTCTACATCTGTGTCTCAACTTCTGCCCTGCAAACCGGTTCATCTGTACCATTTTTCTAGGTTCTACATACATGCGTTAATATACGATATTAGTTTTTCTTTTTCTGACTTACTTCACTATGTATGACAGTCTCTAGATCCATCCACGTCTCAACAAATGACCCAATTTCGTTCCTTCTTTATGGCTGAGTAATATTCCATTGTATATATGTACCACAATTCCTTTATCCATTCGTCTGTTGATGGGCATTTAAGTTGCTTCCATGACCTGCCTATTGTAAATAGTGCTGCAATGAACGTTGGGGTGCATGCGTCTTTTTGAATTATGGTTTTCTCTGAGTATATGCCCAGTAGTGGGATTGCTGGATCATATGGTAATTCTATTTTTAGTTTTTTAAGGAACCTCCATACTGTTCTCCATAGTGGCTGTATCAATTTACATTCCCACCAATAGTGCAAGAGGGTTCCCTTTTCTCCACACCCTCTCCAGCATTTGTTGTTTGTAGATTTTCTGATGATGCCCATTCTAACTGGTGTGAAGTGATACCTCATTGTAGTTTCGATTTGTATTTCTCTAATAATTAGTGATGTTGAGCAGCTTTTCATGTGCTTCTCGGCCATCTGTATGTCTTCTTTGGAGAAATGTCTACTTAGGTCTTCTGCCCATTTTTGTATTGGGTTGTTTGTTTCTTTAATATTGAGCTGCATGAGCTGTTTATATATTTTGGAGATTAATCTTTTGTCCATTGATTCGTTTGTGAATAGTTTCTCCCATTCTGAGGGTTGTCTTTTCATCTTGTTTATGATTTCCTTTGCTGTGCAAAAGCTTTGACGTTTCATTAGGTCCCATTTGTTTATTTTTGGTTTTATTTCCATTACTCTAGGAGGTGGATCAAAAAATATCTTGCTGTGATTTATGTCAAAGAATGTTCTTCCTATGTTTTCCTCTAAGAGTTTTATAGTGTCCGGTCTTACATTTAGGTCTCAAATCCATTTTGAGTTTATTTTTGTGTATTGTGTTAGAGAGTGTTCTAATTTCATTCTTTTACATGTAGCTGTTCAGTTTTCCCAGCACCATTTATTGAAGAAACTGTCTTTTCTCCATTGTATATCTTTGCCTCCTTTGCCATAGATTAATTGACCACAGATGGGTGGGTTTATCTCTGGGCTTTCTATCTTGTTCCATTGATCTATGTTTCTGTTTTTGTGCCAGTACCATATTGTCTTGATTACCGTAGCTTTGTAGTATAGTCTGAAGTCAGGGAGCCTGATTCCTCCAGCTCCGTTTTTTCCCTCAAGACTGCTTTGGCTATTCGGGGTCTTTTGTGTCCCCATACAAATTTTAAGATGATTTGTTCTAGTTCCGTAAAAAATGCCACTGGTAATTTGATAGGGATTGCATTGAATCTGTAGATTGCTTTGGGTAGTATAGTCATTTTCACAATATTGATTCTTCCAATCCAAGAACATGGTATATCTCTCCATCTGTTGGTATCATCTTTAATTTCTTTCATCAGTGTCTTATAGTTTTCTGCATACAGGTCTTTTGTTTCCATAGATAGGTTTATTCCTAGGTATTTTATTCCTTTTGTTGCAGGAGTAAATGGGGGTGTTTCCATAATTTCTCTTTCAGATTTTTCATCATTAGTGTATAGGAATGCAAGAGATTTCTGTGCATTAATTTTGTATCTTGACCTAGGATTTTAAAACTGGATATGACCTAAGAGATTGTCATTCCTCTCAATTTAATGATGACTAAACTGTGGCCTGGAGACAAAAATTTGCTTGAGGCCACATAAATATTAATGTGAATGCATAGAATAGAACGAAAAGTACTTGAATTTAGCTCCATTGTCAGTTTCCGTTATTAAATGAGCTCATCTGGGAATAATGAAGACAATAGGATTGTGAGTAAAAGCTATGCTTAATTTAACTTACTTATTCCCTCAGAGGTACTTTAAAATTACTCTCCGATTTTCTCAGAATGACTATATAATATAAACATTTTAGCACAATATTTTGTAGGGAGTTTGAACGATTATAAAAGTAATGTAAAGATATGTACCATATGCATACAGTGTGTGGTTGTAGGATAAATTATTTTCCACATATAATTAATTTTTTGTCAAATTTGATGCAAGTGCATAAACTGTTTATAATCTTTAAAAGATTGCTTCAACTTCACCTGTTATATCTCAACAGTGTGGTAGACCTATATAATTTTCTACACATAGCAGAGAAATATATATTATTAAAATTTTATTCTGGAGTTTTTTAGGAAATGAAAGATATCTAGACTCCAATGCAAAATTAAAATTTCTCATGTACTATCTTCCTGAATGATTTCCAGTAAATTAAGCAGAGGCACCTCGAAATACTATCTGTTCTCCTTAATCGAAATTCATTGTCAGGAAAGGAGTCTTAGTTCTGCAGTGGGCCTTATATATAACTGAAAAACTTCTAGAAACTATACAGTAATAAAGTAATCTATAATATTCTATTGAAAGAGTGGTTTGGAAAAAGATTTAAACAATCTTCTCTACCTATGGAGTCCTCTATGGAATTACAACTAGAGAGTCTATACTTGTTGAAAAAGTAACCTCCAAAAAAAGAATTGAGCCATGAAAGAAAAATGCAGGTGATAATTTTAAAACACTATATAATCTAACAGATTTGAGGAGAGCTCAAATATCAAGAGTCTGGTTTTCTTCTGTACATATTTACATGATAAAAATTACAAACAAAAAAGCATATGATACTATTGATGGCATTTTCTTCATTGAATATATTTTTTAAAGTTTTAAATATTTACTGAAAATATTCTGTAAATTACTATGCATGTATTGTTAATACTACACCATCAGTTGGATTTTAAGCACTTAATATTTACTTTTCTCAAAAGTAAATTTATTTATCGTGGTTTTGTAGGTTCACATCAATCATGGTTCCATAATAGAAGGTGAATCAACATTAACTGATGTTATTTTCAACTCACATATTATCATTTTCTTTTTTATCATTGTATATTAAAATATTTTAAAATTATCATTATCAGTAACTGTTAGGTGAGTTGTCTTAAAAACTGATTACTGTTTAACTTCTTTAGTGTTTGGATGTTCTGAATGCCAAGGGGAAAGTCATGATAATAATGATAGTAAAAATCTTTCAAAAACTAAAGAGAATGATAAACATACTATTAAAGATTATATCAGAAACAAATTTAGTAACATTACCTTATGTCTTTAAATTACTGTTTTGAATACTGAGAAGCAAATTAATTTCAATTGACTTTGTATTTTCTATTAATCATTTCTTTTCAATCTAAACTTCCCCCGCCATCCCACCCCCATGCTGCCCGGCTTGTGGGATCTTAGTTCTGCAACCAGGGATTGAACCCAGGGCCACAGCAGTGAAAGTGCCAAGTCCTAACCACTGGACTGTCAGGGAAGTCCCAAAGCTAGTTTATATAGTACCATTTTTCCATATTTGTTTTATACATTGACGTAAAAATAATACTTGCAGTCATACCTATGACTTATACCAAAATTAAAGAAATGTATTTGAGGTTTATGCTTTACATGTAAAGCATTAAGTAATAGAATTATTGATCTTCTGGCCCCTATTTTATTCACAGGCAAGGAAGATTTTGTAACATTTAAGGAATTCTAGGGAGTATATACATAAGTGGAATATTAAATTTTTTTAAAAATTTAAAATTTTTGGCTGCGTTGGGTCTTCATTGCTGTACGCGGGCTTTCTCTAGTTGCGGCGAGCAGGGGCTGCTCTTCGTTGCGGTGCGTGGGCTTCTCATTGCGGTGGCCTCTCTTGTTGAAGAGCATGGGCTCTAGGCGCGCGGGCTTCAGTATTTGTTGCACACGGGCTCAGTAGTTGTGGCTCGCAGGCTCTAGAGCGCAGGCTCATTAATTGTGGTGCACGGGCTTAGTTGCTCCGCAGCATGTGGGATCTTCCTGGACCAGGGCTCGAACCCGTGTCTCCTGCATTGGCAGGCGGATTCTTAACCACTGCGCCACCAGGGAAGCCCCTAAATATTTTTTAAGTGGAAAAATTGGTCCATTTTATATTGGCCATATTTTTTAAGTGTAGTCCAAGTCCATACAGCAAATAAACTGGATAATTAAAAAGAGATGAAATTAGCACAGAGTTAACCTGGTAAATAATGTGATTTCTTTCCATGTTTTAATTTCTACTGGAACTCAAAAATTTTATGGAGTAGTGTATCTCACAAACATTAGGATTTTGATTTCTTTCATGAAAAATATATGTGCATTCACAATTGATCTCAGTTATGATTTATCAGTAATAGCAACTTGAAGAAATGCCTGTCTAGATGCATCTAATTTGCAAATACTGCCATTTCCACATTACAGTTTTTGAGTTAACATTAAAAGTAAGTAGGTAATATAGAGAAAAATGAAAGAAATGGATTTTCAGTAATTTGAAAATCAGACTTCGAAATGGATCTCAGACAAGAATGCTATTCAAATAGTTTTAGTTACTTTGAAAATAATATCAACAAAAGCCAATATTAAATACTGCAAATAGGAATATAAACTTGTTTTATGAGTAATGTAAAGACTAGTATACAAGCATCGCATCAAAATAGTAGAGAAAAAGTCAATAATTTTAGTAAGTAATATTTAAATATGGAAAGAAATGAAAAATCTAAAACTCTTAAAGTCAGGGATTATAAACCCTAAATAGAATAGACCAATACAAATCATTCTAGTAAAGATTGGGTGTCACAATTTCAGTAGTATTGATTTTGCAATATTTTAATTAAAGTTGATATATTTTATTAAAATTTTAGTGATATATTTGATTAGAGTAGGGAAAATAATACATAAGAGTCATTGAAATTGGGAAATATTTAACGAATGTAAGGTAAATAAAGCAGAACAAAGTAAAATACTCCCCTTTCATCCACATGATGGCTCTGGACACCGCAAGTTTTTTTGCTTTGTTTGTTTTTAGCAACAAAGGAATACAGAGAGCTTATTTTCCTTAGAAAGGAAAAAAGCCACTCCATTTTTTTTCACACTGCTGCTGAAGCTCAAAAGGTGAGCAAATACAAAATTATATCAAATTGGGAGTTAAGTTTCCAAAAGCTATATGGTAGTGCAATAGACATTTGAATATTGCAACGAATTTGCGATGGTATATTCCCAGAGAAGAGGTGCGGGATCCCGGCGCCTGCTGCTCTCGCTTCTGCTCCTCGCAGCCTGGGAGGCGGGCAGTGGCCAGGTGCACTAGTCGGTCCCTGAGGAGGCCAAACAAGGCACCTTCGTGGGCCACATCGCCCAGGACTTGGGGCTGGAGCTGGCGGAGCTGGTGCCGCGTCTGTTCCCGGTGGCATCCAAAGGCCGTAGGGACCTTCTGGAGGTAAATCTGCAGAATGGTATTTTGTTTGTGAATTCTCAGATCGATCGGGAAGAGCTGTGCGGGCGGAGCGCGGAGTGCAGCATCCACCTGGTGGTGATCGTGGACCGGCCGCTGCAGGTGTTCCATGTGGAGGTGGAGGTGAAGGACATTAATGACAACCCCCCAAGGTTCTTGCGACAAAAACAAACATTATTTTAGAGTCAAGAATAGCGGATTCGGGCTTCCCTGGTGGCGCAGTGGTTGAGAGTCCGCCTGCCGATGCAGGGGACACGGGTTCGTGCCCTGGTCCAGGAAGATACCACATGCCGCGGAGCGGCTGGGCCCGTGAGCCATGGCCGCTGAGCCTGCGCGTCCGGAGCCTGTGCTCCGCAACGGGAGAGGCCACAACAGTGAGAGGCCTGCGTACCGGAAAAATAAATAAATAAATAAAATGAATAGCGGATTCTAGGTTTCCGCTAGAGGGCGCATCTGATATGGATATCGGAAGAAACGCAGAACTGAGATACAAGTTACAAGCTAATGAATATTTTTACTTGGATGTTAAAACAAATGAAGAGGAAACAAACTTTTTAGAGCTAATTTTGAAGAAACCAGTAGGTAGGGAAGAAACGCAAGAACATCGTTTATTGCTGATTGCAATTGATGGAAGAAAACCTGAACTAACAGGTACAGTTCAGTCATTGATCAATGTATTGGATGCGAATGATGATGCCTCGGAATTTGATAAATCAATTTATAATGTCAGAATACTGGAAAATGCACCGAACGGGATATTAGTTATTAAACTGAATGCCTCAGATGCAGGTGAGGGCATTAATAAGGAAATAGTGTACCTCTTTAGTAATCTTGTTCTTGACAACGTAACATCTAAATTTGTGATCAATCTAATAGTGGGGAAATAACAGTTCAGGGAAAGAAAACTGGATTATGAAGACTGTAATTTATATGAAATTAATATTGATGCCGTTGATAAAAGTCTATTCCCATTAACTGACACTGCAAAGTAATAGTGAAAATCCTGGATGAGAATGATAATAGCCCAGAGATGGTCATAACCTCCTTATCTCTGCCTGTGCAAGAGGACGCCCCACTGGGCACTGTCATCGCCCTGATCAGTCTGTCAGACCACGACTCCGGTGCCGATGGGCAGGTGACTTGCACCCTGATGCCTCATGTCCCCTTCAAGCTGGTGTGCACCTTCAAGAATTACTATTCATTGGTTCTACATAGCGCCTTGGATCGCGAGAGTATGGCGAACTATGAGGTGGTGGTGACCGCGAGGGACGGGGGCTCGCCTTCCCTGTCGGCCACAGCCAGCGTGTCCGTGGAGGTGGCCGACGTGAACGACAACGCGCCCGCGTTCGCGCAGCCCGAGTACACAGTGTTAGTGAAGGACAACCCGCCCGGCTGCCACATCTTCACGGTGTCTGCGCGGGACGCGGACGCGCAGGAGAACGCGCTGGTGTCCTACTCGCTGGTGGAACGGAGGGTGGGCAAGCGAGCGCTGTCGAGCTACGTGTCGGTGCACGCGGAGAGCGGCAAGGTGTACGCGCTGCAGCCGCTGGACCACGAGGAGCTGGAGCTGCTGCAGTTCCAGGTGAGCGCGCGCGACGCGGGCGTGCCGCCTCTGGGCAGCAACGTGACGCTGCAGGTGTTCGTGCTGGACGAGAACGACAACGCGCCCGCGCTGCTGCTATCCGGGCCGAGCGGCGGGGCGGGCGCGCTGAGCCAGCTGGTGGCGCGGTCGGTGGGCGTGGGCCACGTGGTGGCGAAGGTGCGCGCGGTGGACGCGGACTCGGGCTACAACGCGTGGCTGTCGTACGAGCTGCAGCCGGCGGTGGGTGGCGCGCGCAGCCCGTTCCGCGTGGGGCTGTACACGGGCGAGATCAGCACGACGCGCGCCCTGGACGAGGCGGACGCGTCGCGCCAGCGCCTGCTGGTGCTGGTGAAGGACCACGGCGAGCCGGCGCTGACGGCCACGGCCACCGTGCTGCTGTCGCTGGAGGACAGCGGCCAGGCGCCCAAGGCCTCTTCGCGGGCGTCGACGGGCGCCGCTGGCGCGGAGGCCGCTCTGGTGGATGTGAACGTGTACCTGATCATCGCCATCTGTGCGGTGTCCAGCCTGTTGGTGCTCACGCTGCTGCTGTACACGGCGCTGCGGTGCTCGGCGCCGCCCAGCGAGGGCGCGTGCGGGCCCGGGAAGCCCACGCTGGTGTGCTCCAGCGCGGTGGGGAGCTGGTCTTACTCGCAGCAGAGGCACAGAGGGTGTGCTCTGGGGAAGGGCCGCCCAAGGAAGATCTCATGGCCTTCAGCCCCAGCCTGCCTCAGGGTCCCATTTCTACGGACACCGTGAGTCTCAAAACTCTTACAGCAATTTTTCGTCATGTCTTTAACATGAAATATTTAATATTATCCTCTATCTTCTCTTTTTATTTTAAATTATGGCTTTATAAGTAATTGTATCCTTTTAGATATAAATTCTCTTGGTACTAATTCATTTACTTATAGTTACGCTTAAAATTTATTTTGTTTGAGAAAATTGTTTTGCACTATAGTGTTTATTTCAGTAACAATCCCCTTTTTATAAGGTTTTAAAAGTTTGAGTTAATGGACTAGTTTTCTGTGGACCGTAGAAAGTATTTGCAGACTGAAATTTTTAGTTGAACGTTTCAATTTTCAAATATTAGTGTTGTAGTAAGATACTTGTAAGATACATACTTGGCATTATTATTTATTGTCAAAGCCCCATGTTGTAACTACATAGAAATATTTAACATCATCGTGTCAATTTGCCTTTTTTGTTCTCCATATACTGTCCATTATTTGAGTATTTTTATTACACATATTGAATTAAGTTTTTCAGTAATATTTGTGCATTGAATGACTCTTTCAAGTCTGTTTAAATGGTTGGCCTTGGCATACTAATGGTGAATTTGATATTTATAATTAAAACTTTTTAGCTCTAGTGACTTCATTTTATTCATTTTTGAATACAAAATACATTTACATGATTTTAAATGTTTTAAAATGTTTCCATTCTACCTCCAATATCAAACCACTTAATATACCTGCTGAATATTTCAAACTTTCCAATTTCTTGGCTATTCTTCTAGAGAATTTTTCATATACTAATAAACTCCCGTCTCCCATTTTAAGACATAATATTTGTGTTGATTTTCCTTCCCCCTTCATTTAATATAATTTGTCTATCATGACATATTACTTAAGGAGTTTTTTCATTCTTTTTTCCAGCCCATGTTGTCCCATTTTGCAGATATGTCATAATTCCCCACCTCTAACATCAACATTTAGTGGAACAATGATTAGTTTTTCTCTATCTTACTTTTTCTTTTCCAATACACAAATTATTATATTGGCGAGAAATAATCATGAATTCTCACAGTTGGGAAAACCTTAACATTTTTGAGTTAGAAAACATTTGTATTTATTGTTGCCTTTTGTTTTTAGATTTTAAAAAACTGTACTATGATATAACCACCCCCCTGAGTTTGTTGTTTACGAATACCATTTTTACAACAAAGCCATACATTTTATCTACTATAGGCAAGAGTGCTCTCCATCTCAAATACAGAGAACTGTTTTCCTACACTTCTTTAAAAAACAATATGGGTTTAGCCAGGAATAAATATTCCACATTTCATATGACAAAATGTCAATTCCCCTTTTTATTGCTTTCCTATTTCTTGCATTGTCACATGTATTTAATTTTATAAGTACACTTGTATCATACTATTTAAACATTTCTAATACCTCATTACTTTGGGGGAGTCCTATAAATGGAGAGGGCATTCTCACCACTGTGTAAATTCGTAGGTAACAGTTGTCAGCTTTTTAAAAATCAAGTTAAATAAATCAAGTTAATTTAGTTCTGAAATATAAACTTTTTATTTATAACTGAGAATTTTCTTTGCTGGGTGAGGAAGATGTTCACGGATTGACTAAACTTTTTTCTCACACAATCTTCTCCCTTGACTAGATGAACTGTTTGAGTAAATAAATAAACAAAAATATAAGATGTTTCTTATAAGGAGACCAGTATTTTCCTTTTCCAATGAAAAGGAAATTGCATATATGATTTCAGTAACATTGTATAATTTTCTACTTGGAGCCAATAAATAGAATTATTGCAACTGTTCCAGTTAATTGGACTATATTACCAACCTTCTGGAAATTGCTAGGAACTTCAATGGAAAGACAGATTTGATACTTTAATTAACTAATTTAAAAGTTGATATTCAAAGAGATTCTTCACTTAGGGCAGCAATTTATGAAATACCTTAACCGCTGTAGAAAACCTTCAACTAACAAGACTGTAGGCCAATATATCTTTTTTTTTTTTTCCCAGTACGCAGGCCTCTCACCGTTGTGGCCTCTCCCGCTGCGGAGCACAGGCTCCGGACAGGCAGGCCCAGCGGCCGTGGCTCACGGGCCCAGCCTTTCCGCCTGGGATCTTCCTGGACCGGGGCACGAACCCGTGTCCCCTGCAGCGGCAGGTGGACTCTCAACCACTGCACTACCAGGGAAGCCCCCAATATATCTTTTGTCAAGGCCTTTCTTCCTGTAAGCAAAGGAACCTTTTATTTGGGGGCTTATTATTGGTTGTCAAATGAACTCTTTGTTTACTCAAAATAAGTGTAATAGAAAGCGATAAGGACTACTACTTATCAGGATAGATCTAGATTAGTTATTTTAAGATGTTGTCATGTAAGTTATGTAAAATGTTCTCATATTGGGGGGTACTTTGTATTACAGTTGTCTGTGAGGATTTTACAAGTATATCAGAATTGTGCAGAAGGGTGAGTGTTGGCAAGTGTCCGTGTGAAAATTCTTTTTAATAACTTTCATTGTCTCCTTTTGAGAAAGAGTTTAATTACCTACAGTTGATGACATTAAGGATGAATTCATGGTAAGATGATATTTTGGCATGACTTTGATATGAGTGGAGCACTTTTACAGGTAAAGATGGAGGTAATTTTTAAAAAATTGAACAAAGGTTGTATTGCGGAAGAAGGAAAGCAAGTGATCTATGTTGTCTGCAAAATAGAATATTGGAGAGTAGTTGAAAATAACACTGGAAATGTTGGCTTGTGATCATATCTCAGGTCACATAGAAGTGATTCTAACATCTTGGGATTTATTTGTTTAGTGCAATCCAATAAAAGCTGTACCCATGAAGATAAATATGGTGGTATGTGAAAAGACAGATGGACAGATGGACTATAGGCCAACTTTGAATAGGGCAGGTAAGGGAGATGGAGTAATAAAAAATTGATATAGGTGACATGTAGAATGTTCATGCCATTAAATAAAAGGTGAATTTAAGGGTTTGAATTTGGGGGGTATTAATGATTTATCTTCATAATCTTTAAATTGTAATCAAATTATTTTCTAGGAGTCATCAGCATGTATGGCTAAAAATGACAATTATAACCATTGAAAAGGGGGAGGAAGATGTGAGTTTGGGAATACCTTCAATAGAAGTCTTGTCTGAAATGTTGGAAGGGGATGAGAACACAAATAAAAGCATATAAGAGGTTGAGGTAGAAAGAAAAGGATAAGGTCATTTAGGAGCAGCGGAAGGATCAGAGCAGCAAAGCACAATAGGTAGAAATTCCACAAGATGGAGAAGTATAAGTAGAAATTCCACAAGAAGGAAAATATTTTGAGGGGGAGGACTAATATAAGCTGCAGAGAAATTAAGAAATGTTGTAAAGAATATGTGCTAAAATTTTCAGCCTCCATTATTAAATTAAAAAACATTATTAGGAGTAGTTGATGTTCACTCAACAAAGAAAGAATGGACTTTGATAATCTATAAGGTTTTTAAAATTTGTGTAAAACTTGCTAATTTAAAATTACACTCTTTTCTCAAAATATAATAGTATATTCTGTGACAGAAATACATGCACATGTTTCTTCTCTATGCAAATATGTAGGATAGTTTGCACTTCTAATTGCCAAGCCTGGTTCATATCACACTTAAGCTTTCTAAAATGGCTGATACAGTTTTTCCTTTATTGGGAGGAAAGTTGTTTCACTATGAGTATTTTGAACCCTTACCCTACTCTAAACTAATAAAAGAAAACAGACGAGATAAACTGACCCTTCAAATTACAAACATGAGGAGATTTACTATTAAAATAAGGCAAAACATATATATGTAATATAAATATCTATATCTTTAATTTCAAGAACTATAGCGTAGCTTCGTTGTGAAGTCATTACTTACCCTTTCGAGCCGCATGATGTCGCTGTCTACCGTGAAGTTACACTAGCTGTTATTCAAGTCCATTGCTCCCGTTACTGCATCCTTCCACGAGTGTTGAATGATGGCAGGCGCAGAAGAACTGAATTAACAGACTCGGGATCATACAATATTTCATCTTAATGCCTAGACAAGATTTCCTGATGGAACTAAACCAGCAAGTATTTGAAATGCTTATTACACCTGAAGGCCGACTGAGATCCCGGTGTTTGCTTCTCTCGCTTCTGCTCCTTGCAGCCTGGGAGGAGGGGAGCGGCCAGGTCCGCTACTCCGTCCCAGAGGAGGCCAAACACGGCACCTTCGTGGGCCTCATCGCCCAGGACCTGGGGCTGGAGCTGACGGAGCTGGTGCCGCGCC